TTTCCTTTACAGCTAATGATAATGAAGATCATTTCATTGTGCTTATTGGCCATTTACATTTTCCTTATAAATATCTTTTCAGATCCTTTATTCATTTTTTAATTGAGTTGCCTCTTTATTGTTGATTTTTTGGAACTTTATCTTGGAAATACAAATTCCTTATCAGATAAATGATTTGAAAAAATTTTCTTCTGTGCGTTGTTTTTTCACTTTCTGGATGGTGTCATTTGCAGCAAAGTTTTAAATTTTTATGAACTCCAGTTTATCTCTGTTTTCTTTGTTTCTTCTGCTTTTGGGGTCATGTTTAAGATATGAGGTATTTTATTTAAACTTTTATATATAAAATAACTGAATTCTTAGGACCGTTCTAGGAGATGGGTGCTGTTGTTGTTCCGAGACTATGAATGAGGAGACTGAGATGCAGAAAATTTCCCTGAATATCAGTGTCAGCTACCCAGTCATGCTGTGGGATTTCAGACCCTTTTTTTGTCCCCAGCATCTGTGCTCTTCACCACCATGCTCTACTCCTTCCTGGAATCGTTAATGAAGTCTTTCCTTCTTTGATTTCTTGTTAGTTTTTTTTTTATGGGGACCTCATCTTCTCATTTTCCTTCCAGAGCTCAGTGTAGGTTTATTTTTGGTCTCATGTAGGCAGAAGCATTGCTATCAGTTAACTTTTTTATTACTCACTCTGCAGTGATGGCTGTTGCTAATTGACCTAATCAAGTCATGCTTAAGTCTTTCCTGCCCATGACACTAAAAGCAGAGTCGTGACTTACAGAATGCTCAAAGAAGAAAGTACTTGATTGATTTTATTTTGCTAACCAATCAAATAAAAACCCCAGTGTTGACATTGATTATAAGCCCTCCAGAATAGGGTCATTGTCTTCCTTGTGTTTTGTTTTTTTGATCACAGTGTCTGGATAGTGCCTTGCTGTCCAGCAGTATTGTTAGGATACGGTGTTCGTGAATCATTGTAAGGACAGATTTTGACAACAGACTGTGTTGTTCATTTCACGAGGGCAAAGATAATATGAAAATACTGCTCAGATCTATTTTAAAATTAAGCTTGGAATTTTGAGAAGAGGTCGAGAAACCATACAAAGATATTTTTCACTAATTATAGATCTATCTTCGACACATTATGGTTACATAACAGACTAACTTATCAACTAGATTTGACAAGTGGGATGTAATATTCATTATTTGTTTTGGTTGAAATATTCTACCTGGAATAAAGTAATCTGTGCCCATAAATGAACAAACGTAACTTTGTATTTCTATGCAACATGGGAGCAGACTTCATACATTTATATATAATATATATGGCTTTGTGTTTTAAACTGTCTGTCAGTGTTTTTATAGTTTTTCAGCAATGTTGTAACTTTAGAATTCTTCTAAGAAAATCACCCCCGTATCTAAAGCAGTTTGTACTGTGTATCCTGTCTTATGCATGGAATCCCACTGTCCCCTCAGTAAGGAATTTCCTCTCCTTCTTAGGTAGTAGCAGAGCTACAGAGACTGGGATTTCTAGGCCTTTGTTCTCCATGTGTTTGAAGTTGGCTATCAATCACGTTTTTCCCTTTCTTGGGTTTTCATTGTTCAAATAGAATTTTTGTAAATAACTATTAATATGTTGCACCAGGCTCCCTAGAAACTTGATGTGTTTGTGCTTTCCTGTCTTGAATTTATGAAAAATGTAAATGCACTCCTGTTTTTAAGTAATCCTTTTTCACTAGATATTTGTTTACCTCTTTATAGTTAATTATTTTTTCCCAATGAATGAATCAGTGTGCATGTTTTAAAAGATACATTACTTTTTAATTTTCTTATTGTAACAGTTATATTCATTCTAGAGAATTTATGAAATTAGGATAAACAAAGTAAATAAGTTAAAAATGGCCTGTAATCTCACCTGGAGATACAGGTGTAAGTTTTGAAATTGAGAATTACAAGTCCTCTCACTTTGTTCTAATTTTTGAAGATCGCTTTGGTTACTGAGACCCTCGAATTCCCATATGATTTGTAGCAGCATCTAGTCAGTTTCTGCAGAGGATCCTGCTGGGATTGTGATCGAGACCATGTTGAATGCACAGATCACTCTGGGGGCACTGCCATCCTAAGAGCATTGTTTTCTGACCCATGAATATGAGTGGTGTGTCTGTCAAGGTATTTAGATCTACTTTAACTTTTTTCAACAATGTTTTCAGCTTACAGAGTATTATTTTACTTTTCTTTTGCCTTTATACTGCGGACAAGTGTGCAAGGTACTGGGATCAGAAGTGTATTTGAGCCCCGCCACTTGCTGCCACCATGGTCGCTGTGCTCTTGCTTCACCCTCTGTACTATCTTGCACAAAATAGGACCTCAGTAACTCTGTCTTGAATGAATGATTATATGATTGTTGGATGATGCTTAAGAGTCCTTGTGATGATTTTTTTTCCCAGCCTTTCCCCACTTCTTAACTATGCCCTTTCTCTTCTTAATCTCCAGCCTGGGTTTCAGCCTACCTGTGGCATTGATTTTTCTTGTCTGTAGACTCATTCACTGGTTCACAATAATGTTACATGTGGGCTGTGGAAACTTGCTAGATGTCAAGAAAGACCCAATCCATTGCATGCTAGTATTTTTAGAGTGTGGTATTCTTTCATCGATTCAAATTAAATCAGGCTGACCCCCTGAGCCCTACCGTGAGCTCTTTTCGCCTTCCTACAGGTAATACTGCTCTGGTTGCTGCATGTGCCCTTCCCCCAGCCTTGGTTTTGGTGTTGAGTAAGTCACCATCAGTGGAGCCCTCTCTTTAAAAGATGAAGAGAACATTTGCTCCTCCCTGGTTGGGGACTTGGATGAGATGAGGCACCACATAAAGAATGGAGCCCCACCTCATTCTGACCCCCGCTCTTTCTGTTCTTTCTCCAGGGGAAAAGAGTACAATTCAACAGTATAAAGATTGATTGTGAGCTAATGAGATAGACAAGACAACCGAACATTTATTAAATATCCTTTCATGCCAGAAACAAATGTATTATACACACAAAAAACACATAAAGCATGATAGTACTGTGGTTACAAACATGGGTCCGAGTTCAAGTCCTGCTGTGGAGTGACCAGTTCTGTGAGATGGAGAACTGGTAGGTCGGCTTAGCCTCTCCCGGACTTGTTTTCGGTCCTTCAGAGACGGGGCTCGCTAGGTGTCCCCCCCCATAGAGGTGCTGTGGCGTGTAAATGATGCACGTGGGCAGCCCGAGCACAGCTGCTCATTCCTCGTAAGTGCAGAATAGCATAGCTTTTGCGGTGACAGCTTTATAAAAGCCCCGTGTAGACTCTCAGTGCTCCAAAGGGATGCCTTGCAGTTTGAACGTGGGATTCTCACTTCTGTAAATACCCAAGGATTATGTTATTGGGCCTTGCTGATTTGAATCTATTCTTTAGAAAGTACATATTGTAGATTCTTTTTTCAAGCATGCATGATTTTTTTTTAATATTTATAGTTCTACCCTCTTATCTCTTGGTGTGATTTTTCATGGAATGTAGGAAACAATCCTAAGCCACCTGCCTCTTCACACTTCTCCGTGGTGGTTTTCCTCCCTGACTGGAAAGGGGTTTTGTATAGGAAATTTACTTTGTTCCCCTTTTCTTAGAGTCTGTGTATCTGCCCATCTCTCACCTGTCATCTGTCCATTTATCTACCCACTCATTCTTCTGACTTGTTCCAACAATCATTTCAGGTAGCTTACAGAATAACAGATACCAAATAAGCAGGTGAGAAAATGGAGATAAGTTCAGACAGTGAGGCTAGGAGGCGAGCCTGTTTGAGGGTTGCAGGCATGAGACACACGCGTCTGTCATGTGACTTATAAGATCGACAGCAAGTATGTGCCTGAGGCTCCCAGCAGACACAGGGAAACAGGGTTTGTGGGAGATGCTCACTGTCTGTAAAATAAATAAGTGGCTTAGGAGAAGCCCATCCTTTCCAGCTACTAAGGCTTAGGAGAGTATTTTGAGTTTCTTCCAAAATCAGAGTAATGCATCTTTTCTTTTGTCACAGTTCTACGTGTAGTTGGTTACATTGTGTACCTGGAAATTTCTCCCAAAGTGCTTCCCACGTGGGTCCCATGGCTCGGGAATGGAGTGGTTCTGCTCATTGGTGGGTGTTGGCCAGAATCAGAAAATGACAGCCTCAAAAGAGACTGGGACTTTTCATTCATGTTTTGTCAGTGTTGTTGACTTCAGAAAATGCTTTCACTGTTTCTTTCCATCTGAGGCAGCAGCGTGCTCTCTTACCAGCATCAGGAGCTCAGGGCCACGGGATGGTGTGGGCTGACTGCACTGCCGTCAAGACAGCTGAACTGGTTACTGCAGGCGTGGTGCTTTCATGTAGTGCTTTTCATGTTCTTTAATAGAAGGTTTCAACAGGAAGTTAATTAACTGAGTTAATTAACATTTAATAAATATGATGCTATTTTGAAAAGACAGTTATAGGCAGTATATAAGCTGTGAAGACTTTAAAAAAGGTTTCATTACTGAAATTTCAGTAGGGAAGATTCACAGTTTATGTTACTTATGCCTCTCTTTTAAAGTAAAAAGGAAAGAAGGCAAAATAGGCAAAAGATGCTTTCTGTTCTTCCTGTCTCTTTGCAGGCCCCTCACCTCCAGTGGCATCCATCCAGATACCAGCACTGACACTGGCCATGCTTAGAACTGCCTCAGCCCTGAAGACACAACTGACAAAAAGAAGGGGGCCATGCCCTGATACAGCAGGTGCTCTCACTTTGTGGGTCTTTATGTAACTGCACGGTGCTAATCAGGATCGCCCTTTCTACATTGTGTGACACTGCTGCCGTGTCTCCTAGTTACTTGTTCCTGTAAGTACACGTGTATTATTCTCCAATGTGTGGTACTATACATCTAAAACTGCTTTTTTCAGATGAAAAATCATGTGTATTTAATATAATAAGTCTGAAAAAAGGGGCAAAAGAGGCTATCCTGGTCCCACTACTCAGAGATAATAATTAACACTTTAACATCTATTTTCTGTTCTTTTCATCAGTGTGTATCACCTCTGTCATAAAAACCAGCGAGCACTCTGTGCCTGTTTACTGTGTGGAGACCTCGATTTTCCATTCGGCTTATTACATGTTTTTCTACAAAATTCTATCTCCCCTGGCATGATTTTTAATGACCAGTATAGCCTTCTGTCTTGTGGAGGCATCGTCCATTTTACTTCAAACTTAAATAAACTTTTAAATTCCAAGTATACTTTACTGAAATACTGAAGAGAACAGCGGTGGTACAGAAAGGCCCCTATAACCCTTCCCCTTATTTCCTGAAAGTAAAAGCTGTTGACAATGTGGTGTACATATTTCATGACCTTTTTGACTATGACATATATATATATATATATACACACACACACACAAACACACACACGTATATTAGAAATCTATGTATATGTGTCTGTATATATGCTTTATTGAAAAATGAGACCATACTTTTTTTTTTCTGCAGCTCGCTTTATTCACTCAGGGGTATATCATAGACATCCTCCCACTCCAGAATCACCCAGTCCTTTCAGATAGAGTGGAGGGGTCTCCTGGTGTGCAGGTGTGGTCTCTTGTGCCAGGGCACATTTTGTGGGGAGTGCTGTGGGCAAGGCCCTGGACCACGCCGAAATGTCATCTCCCTCAGGGCCCGCAGCTTGCCGTGATTTACCACATCATTGTCTTGATGGTGGACATTTAGGTTTTCTCCATTTTCCACTGTTAGAAAGGATGTTTGACTGCCATCGTTCTTGTACAGACATTCCTGTGATCTTGTATGAGTATTACTTTAGTTAAGGCTTCTGGAAATTTAGTCCCTGGATGTGACATTTAGATTCATCACAGGCTCCATTCAAGTGACTCTAGAAATTCCTTCTCCAGAGGGGAATGAAAAGATGTAGAATTACTTATACAACCAATTCTCTATCACTGGATATTATTTCACTTCAGATTTCCTTCCCACCATTGTAAACAGCGCTGTGTAAATGCCCTGAAGAATACATCTTTTTGAGCTGATTTCATTTTTTCTATAGGAAACGATTCCTAGAAGTGGAGTTTAGTCAGTGTGTACACACGTTTTTTAGAATTTACATATTCATTGACATGTCGTCCTCCAAAATGTTCGCTCACAATATGTTCTCCCACAGATGGACACTAGCTAGAATACCTTTTACAAATATTTGCCAATATGATGACCAAAAGTGCTTTTTCATTATTTTAGTTTGCATTTGTTGACCTGTGAGGTACTGAGCATTTTTCAGTCATTAGCCATTTGACTTTTTAAAAATAAATGATCCCTTTTGTTCTTTGCACACAGTTAAGTGAGGGAGCTTCTTGTTGCTTTGTGAAAGCTCTTTGTATGTTATGAACATTAACTTCTTGTCTTCATCAACACGTGTCACAGAGCTTTTTCTTGTCATTTCTTGCCTTTCATTTTGTTCAGTAGGTTTTTTATTTTTGTTGTGGCCCAAAATATTTTTAAGATAATAAATGTCTTCCTTATGTGTTTTATCTTTGACATTATTCTTAGAAATACTTTCTTATAATGGAATAAATCTCTTCTGTAGGTTTTTTAATCTCTAAGATGGAGATGATAATGGTACTTGTTATAGTGAGGGGAAATTGAGTTAATATGAGCAAAGTGTTGTATTTACTGTTATTATTACTTTTTAATATTTACATCACTATCTGTAACTTTTCTTGTGGTCATTATGACAGGAATAGAATTTATTCTTTCCAGGAGAATCTGGTTGTCCCAGGAGAATTATTGAATTCATATTTATTTCTTTGATTTGAAATCCCACCTGTACAAAATACTTATGTACACTAGAGTCTCTTTGAGCTCATGGTTCCTTTCTGTGTATCTTCCTTTCTTATTCCAGCACCATATCTTACATATTGTAAAAATTTATTTAGTATTTGACAGTGTGATTTGTTTTTGATTCTTTTCTTCCATCCCAAATTTTCTTGGCCAGTATTATCACTTAATTATTCCTGAGGAATTCAAAAATATTTTGCTCAAGTTAAAAAAAATCAGATAAGAGTTTTCATGGGAATTTTTAGTAAGT